AAAACCTAACTGGTATCAATTGGAATTTCCAATTGGAATCTAATGAGAATTTTCGACTGGGTTGCATTGTCTGTTGCAGTCGGCGGCAGCGCTTCGAAAGCTTAGGTTCTTCGCTCTTGTCGGACTGCCGGCCGGCGCTCGCCCGGCGGCGACGTTCGCGCTGCGGGCGCACGGATACTGACGCGCCTTTCGTTTCCCTGGATGGATACCCACTGACCTCGGCTTTGAATCTTTATATAGTGTGAAGCTGCCGACCCATTGCAGTTTGGCTGCCTCTGAATGCGCTGGTGTGCTTAGTGACAATACTTGGACAACTCGGATACTGCTTGCCCGCCGGAACTTCCCGATGCACTGAACACTGGATACTGTGCTTGTGCGTGCTGTGTGTGTTCCATGCACCGATAACACATACCACAGCGCACTATAGCAAATAACACTCACACCTTACACACGAAAAATAAAGCAAAATTCAAACAAACCGGGATTGCGGGTGCGACGTTCACTTGCCATCCTGTACAATTTTAGGCAGGAACAGAAACCAATTAACTCGAGAAATTATCGAAGCAGAACATATCGCCAGGAACTATAACAACTGTATAAGTACACCATCTTTACACCTGACAGAAACAGAGAAAACATTTTTAGGCATCTAGGAGATCGGTGCGCGTGAATTGGGAAATTCGGTGGTGCTAGAGGTTGAAGAAGACAAAGTTATATATCAGTCAGCGCGGTTTGTTTGAATTTTGCTTTATTTTTCGTGTGCAAGGTGTGAGTGTTATTTGCTATAGTGCGCTGTGGTGTGTGTTATCATGTGCAACCAACTCGCCCAAGCTGCTACGTTTCCATGCACCGTGTTTGGTGACGACGCCTGGACGACCGTGTGCGCCGCCGGAATTACCGCTGCGCTCACCGCTGGACTCTACAAAAGTATTTCGCGCGATGCCCTTAGCCGTTACAAGCGAGAGATGGTCGCGATTTCAGACCCAGTCCGCCTGGGCCTGAAATCGCGACGATCTCTATGTTTTAACGGCTAAGGGCATAGCACGAAATTCTTTTGTAGAGTCCAGTGGTGAGCGCAGCGAGTGGTGCATTGCCTGGGTGCACCACTCGCGGTTCCAGGCTGGGTACAAACTGGTGCCCCAATTTTGGGTCTATGCGGAACCGGCATTTTTCATTCCGGCTTGTATCTGACGTTTTTGTACGGGAGTACACAGAAGCTTCGGCAGCCAGGAATTGTGACGCGGCGACGACAGCGACACTCGCGGTCGCGCCTGCTTTTCATCAGCAGTTCTACAACGAACCGCCAGGATCGCGACATCCGGCAAAAGGATGCTCCGGCTTCTGTGACGTCATATGTTACCACTTCGGGACCACCAGAGCCAGGGGCGGATCCAGAACTCCGTTTTTTTTGGGGGGACGCTAACATTTCATCACCATGCGATTCCAGTGCGTTGCGTCTCACTGGATCCGACTGGTTAGACCCAGAATTGCGCGGATCGGAACTGTCCACAAGTTCAGAACCGCGCGGATCCGAAGTGGAACCGCTCCGATCTGACATTTTCGTACGGGCCCGTACAAAAATGTCGGATACAGGCCGGAATTAAAAATGCCGGTTCCGCCTGGACCCAAAATTGGGGCACCAGTTTGTATCCAGCCTGAAACCACGCAGTTCCGGACGGGATACAAACTGGTGCCCCAATTTTAGATCCAGGCGGAAACAGCTGGTTCCAGTGGTTCTGCAGAACCACTGGTACCGCGCGGTACCAACTGGTGCCCCGATTCCAGACCCAGGTGTTGCGCCGCCGAAATTCCGCTGTGTTCACCACTGGACTCTACAAAAGTATTTCGTGCGATGCCCTTAGCCGTTACAAGCTAGATCGTTGCGATTTCAGACCCAGGCGGGGAAATTTGCAAGGATTGCTTCCATTCAAGGAGCGGTTTTCCAAGTTCAGAGTACAAGTGTGCCTGCTAGGGTGCGACCTACCCTATTTTGAACCCTCGTCCTCGAGTACTGAGCCTTCTACCACCTGGCAGGCCGGTAATCAGTTTTATTTCGAGGGGGGGGGGGGGATATGCCCATGTCAAATTGCCCTCCGAGAAGGGGGGAGGGGGGAGTCAACTTAGTTTGGGGGGGGGGGGAGGGGGAGCGGCCGCACCCGTCGGCCCCACCCTTGGATCCGTCCCTGACCAGAGCAGTGGGACAACTTTTGATGTATGGGCACGGGATGGGACACTAACATTCCAGTCGCAGACGTGCTCCAGACACCATAACCACTTCTTGCCACAAGGACGTATAACTTTGAGTGACCAAATCGAACGTTTGCTTCAAGTTCTGAAGGTTGCAATGAAATTGCACTTTTTAAATATAAAAATATTCTGATTCAATTACGCAAATGACATTCCACGTGGGTGATAAATATGCATTTAAAAATCCAGCTGAACTCTAGGTTAATTCCCAAGCTTCCATTTCACTATTAAATCTACTTTGGTTTTAATTTAAGCTTTATTTACAATGTCTACAAACACTTAGATGTTTGTGGGCACTGTACGAGGAGAGCCCTCCTCCCGCGGTGGAACTAAACGACTGATCGCACATAGAAATAAAACCTATATTAGTCCAGCCACACCTAGATTTAAATATCAATTTTGAAAACAAATCGCGAAACATTATGCCCTCATTAGGATACTGCGGTCTATCAAATGCTAGCATCAATTTTATTCTAAAAACAAAAACAAAAAAAACGGTAAGGTAGTATTGATACAAATTTTCACCAAAATCCCATCCCTACTTTTTAACCTTTTTTTCTATAGCTCAACACGTGCGAGTGCACATGCCCTCTCTGGAGGAGAGCTTCTCCTCTCAGCGCGAGGCTGTGCCGCGGCTAAGTGAGCTACACAAAATCGCGATGTCAACTCCGCGGGTGTGGCTTCTCAGCAGTGTACCGATGAGCAGTGAGAAGCACACTCAACAGAGTTAACCCGTGTGAACAGACCACAATCAATCAATGAGGAATGTTGCGAAAGTTCCAAGCACTCCGAGTGCTTGACAGAAAGATAAAAAATGCACACCACATTGTTCGAGGCGATAACCGAAAGTTGTGAAAATTCGCACAAGTCAGTCGTAACAATCTATCAGTGAGGCGACGTTTGAGCTCTAAATTTCCATAGTATGCGAAAGGAACTTTTGGGACAATGTTAGTGCAAATTCTCGACTTTGGGGCAACGTAGCAGGGTAGGTAAGCTCTTTGGTGCAGTCTGGTGTGCAGTCACATCCCTGCACAGTTCAAGGATTAATTGAAAAGATAATTGGCAAATACTGAGGCTTTATTTCATTCCTTGCCCAATAATGACCCCAGCTTTAGGCAAGTGGAAAATTTCTTTTGAAAAAGCACCATGCCAACACCTGACGTAAGCTGCTTACCAGTCAACTTATACCTTTCGTTCTCAGACATGCCAAGTACCAGGACATGAAAATAAGGGAAATCTTGCATAATGAGAGATGGAAAACTGGGAAGGGGGGTGGGAGGGAGGGAAGAATTGAATTATTTTACAGCAAAACTGTTATACGCTAGGGTCTGGGAAAAAATGCGTCCTCACATGTCGACAGAAAACTCCCCATTGGTCGTGGCAAGTATGAATAAATAAAAACAAAAAGAGGGGGCAACCTGCATGAGTCAGCCTTCCTTGGCATTATTAGATAGTGAGGTTCTGATCCTTTGTTATCATCTCTAGGCATCGTCCTCGAGGTCGTCCTAGAAGTCATCCTAGGCGTCGTCCTAGAGGTTGTCCGAGAGGTCATCCTTTAGGCGTCGCCCTAGAAGTCGCCCTAGAGGTCGTCCTAAAGGTCTTCCTTGAGGACGTTCTAGACGTCGTCCTCCAGGCATCATTCTAGACGTCGTAAAGGTAACAGCTTCACTGGTCCTCACTCTTCACGTGAAGTGGAAGGGCTGTACAATATTTTGTTAAAGTTTTCTGGAAGTGGACTGAACCCTTCTCAAGGTTCTGCGACTAGTAGTAGGTCTGCACACTTTTCCAGGTGAGTTTAGAATGTTTAATGCCAATGTCAATGGTAATCAAACTACCGTAAAATACCGGACAAGCACCCACTCAAACTTTGGAGATGATTGCAGAAAAATGGGGGATGGGTGCTTGTCCGGTCATCAATTTTACATATAAATGTACTTAGCCCATTTTCTCAAATCTTACAAATTTGGTAATAGGCGCTTAATGTGGAATGGGCGGATGCGCGGTATTTTACGGTAAATAAATACCATTAAAGCTCGAATACACGCTGGAGGGACAATGGTTATAACCGAAACAATGTATAACTAAAAAAAACAAAGCTCTGGAATTGCAGAACTTTTAGGTCCACCATAGCCAAGCTAAGTCAAATTAAGGTGCCACCCTGGTCAAACTCAAAGTACCCACCAGCCCAATTTTACATTGAGATCGGTTGAGAGTAGGTTTGGAACCAGTCGTCTGAAACACAATCCCCAACTGAGATTGTGTCACCTAGCAAAGTGATGACACTGACAGATGACGGGCTAGGCTACAGAGTTTCCATTTCTATGTGGCCAGGCAAGATCGACTGCAGGTTTTGTGCAAAAAGCAAAAGAGTACTCAATCATAGAACCATACAAACTGATCAAATTCCCACACATTGTAGTAAAAATAATCCGGGGGATAGGGCGCGCATACATATGCACCACAGCACATAAAGCAAACACCCACGCTAAAGAACCCAGTGATCCTGGGCTCCACTCCCCACCCCTGCCCTTTTTCATATGGATGAACATTGTACCGGCGTGCGGGTGGGTGCCGCGTGATGCATTTCAAAGACCTCAGGCTAGCAGCTGTACTGTGCCGGCAATATTTTCGTCCACGGCGGAGATATCAGATGCCCACTGGGGTTGACCAACTTCCCGATGGTTAAACATATACATACACACAACTTACTTCAAACGGCCATCGCCTGCCAAGGAGAAATAACAGGCACCAGAGAGGGAAAACGGATGATGTATTTTTATCAGTGCAAATAGAGGGCTGGTACACAAAGCACATCACTACACACACTCAATGGAATCCCCCCCGTAACGATAAGGCCCTCGTGATGTGAAAGAAACGAAGAAGGAAGGGAAAAATAAAGAAGAAAGACAAGCTGAAAACAATTTTGACCCCACGTTCAGAGCGGCCGCGAAAGCGTTGTCTTCCTCTCCGTCGGCCACGTCTTTGGACTGGCAGCAGTGTACGGGGGGTGAACAACAGCAGGCTTCCTCTAGGTTACCTTTGGAAATAGTATGTACACGTTTACGTTGGACGTCGTTTGAATGCCTCTTCACCGCCGTCCCGGGAACCAGCGTCGCTTGGTGTAGCCCTGCGTTTTAGCAGAACTGGAACGTAGGAGAGACACGGTTAGCACATTTTCCTCCACACAATCACCACAGAAAGTTCAACCTGTCCAGTGGGCGTTTCGTGTGCCTCTAAATGCCTGTTCACAGATACGCCACAGCGGTAACTCGTTGCTATAGACACAGTGCCGACTTTGCGCCGTATCAGCACTTTGCTGCCGGTGACCCCACCTTTCGTCACATATATACGGGCGATGCAATGCTAACTCAGCAATGGGTCAGTGCTGACAGTAGCGACAGTACAGCCGCTGACTTTCCATTGTCGCGCAACGCATGCGTTAAATGATATTACACGGACACAAAGATGTATAATCTGAGCGGTTCACTGTGAACTTTCTGATCGTGCGGGTCTTAAACAAGCCCGCAGTTTCTCTTAGGCAGTAGTCCCGCTGGCTCAACAGACAACTGACACTAAAAACTGACAAAACAAAAGCGGTCTTTTGGCAACACCAGTAACTTTCAGCCGAATCGCTTGATCACAAACAGGTTGGGGACACTCAAACGGAAAAAGGGGACGTCTACAAGCGGAGCTTGTTTGTTTGTTTGCACAGCAAAACAAGGAGTAAAGGTTTTGCTTTGCTTAGACGGGTACTCCGGCGATTTTTTGAGCAACCCCACCTTACTATATTTTCGAAATTGCCATCTTGTCCTTCTTCCGGCATGCTATTTATTAATGTGAAATTCAAAATAGTTATTGTGAAATCGGCAGATGAAAACAACGCCAAAACCAGGATTCGAATATACCTGCGCTTTCCATTGCCATAACGTCACGGGATGGCAGGCTTGCAGTTCGAGCGGGCTGTCTAAAAATGAACTATGCCGAGCACTTGTTTTGTGCTGCTGCGCGGGAGCTGCAGCAACCTTCCAAAGCATTCATTTGACACCATGAAACTGTTTGTAACCAGTTGGGAACAAAGTCTACAGCCCAAAGAGTGAACCCCTGCCTTTCCATGACGTCACTTTTTCAATGTTGCCAGTACTGCTTTTCACTTTGAAAAACACGATGAGGACCAAAATTGTAAATTCCATAACTTCGTGAAAAAAAGTTATTTTGGTCAAATATTTAGGTTACTATATCAGCGATGTTTGTTGGTGTGTTTAGCAAGTTTTTAGGCAAATCGGCGAGTATGAGGAAATTGCTGGACTAACAGTACTATGGCACGAGTGGCATAGTACTGTTAGTCTTCATAGGGGAAGAAATTTAAGTACACTATTTTCCATTTTATGAGTTACCTGTGCAAATGTGGCACGGAGGTTATATTTCTCGTTCCATTCATTGACAAGAATATAAAGGCTCCTGCATGTGCATATATCATTATAACAGTATACCAAAAAATACCGGGCAAGCATCCACTCAAAATTTAGAGATGATCTCGAAAAAATGGGGGATGGGCACTTGTCTGGTCATCAATTTTACATATAAATGTGCTGTGCATATTTTCTCAGATCTTACAAACTTGGTAATGGGCGCTTAATTTAGAATGGGCGGATGCGCAGTATTCTATGGTACATATGTGGGCTTATGAATGCAGCTTTGCCGTGTCTGCTGTACAAATATACATACAAGTGCATTTTACTATATACCAACTTTTTGTGAAAATAGCAGTTTATAGGGGGTGCGACTTATAGACTGAAAATACAATATCTGTTTAAGCCGCCTGCTTGCAACAACCCTCCCTCCCCCAACCTTGAGTTAGGTGACTTATCTCTGTGTAGAGAGTGCACTGGGTGTTTGGAGCCGGCAGATGCAACCTCTAAATCAGAGTAGAGTCAGCTTAATGTAGCAGGCAAGTTTTGATTTGTTCGCCGCCTTTTTTCCAGTCCGCTTATAGGACTTGTTCGAAGTAATGACAACAAGGCAAGACAGACATGTGGTAACTTAAAAAGGCATCTCAGTCGCAAGCTTCCAACGCTCTTTGTGAAAAAGGTTACAGTAATTTAAACCAGTGGCAAACAATGTGTGTGTGTGTGGGGGGGGGGACCTGGGTTTTAGGTACTATAGCCGGTGACAGGTCAAGAACAAAGTGGAAGCTCCTCCCACCTTTTTCCACTTCAGCGGATTGAACTGTGGAGAGGAGGTCGCCCCCTCTCCAGCATTTGCTTTACTAAACTGGAAAGAGGTGGGAGGAGCTTCCACTTTGTTCTTGACCGGTCACCGACTATAGGTGTCCCAGTCACAGGGGGGGGGGGGTGCCACCTCTGACAGCTCTCGAACCCCACCCCGCTTTGCTGGTCGGTTGCGATCTCAGGCAGTGAATGGGGATGGGCTATGAAAGACAAGGTCCCCGGGTGCCGGATGCCCTAGCTATGCCACTGAAAGAGACAATGTAATTTTATCGTCAAAAGAGAATTGTAATTTAACTTTTCTGAGAATAATTGTTTCCACTTCCTAAGGTATAATATTCTTGGTGGATGCTGAATATTTGCTTAAAACAAATTAGGGATTGAATGATTCGGAAATTGTTCTTCCAAGAAGTTTCTCTTCCTCACCTATAATGACAGAACAATTGTGACCTCGTGGGCATGCTTAGCAAAGCCACAATTCTTGAACAATTGTGGCTTTGCTAGAGTTTGAAATTTTAAAAATGCCCTACTTAGTTGACATGCCCACTTTACACATTTGAAACACTGCTTTAAGCACCTTATACAAGCTCCCAGGTTATGGTACCTTTCATGTGAGTGAGAGTTACCTCCTCTCAGAACAAACTTATTTAAGCTACATTAGGAACACCTCCCCCCACAGCTTTCGATTTTACCAAAGAAGAAAACTGACATGTTTACTAGCTTTAATTTAACCTGAAAGTTACGTGTGATTTTTTAAGTGAGCAAAGCAGGCATTCCTGCAGCTTAAAACATTTCTTAGGCTATTTTTGCAATTCTTTTCATGTACTGTGCATGGCCCAGGTCTCATGCACAGTACATGTGGTGCCATCCGACAGCGGTAGATAAGATTATACACAGAATGTGTTTAGTAAGACTAAAGGAACTCGCACAATGACAATGACTAAATAGTCTAAACCCTGAGACAATAAGTAAAATAACAGACATGTTTTTCACAATGATGTGAAAGAAATTTACAACAGAAGTAGAAAAAATAAAATCTGCACTCTAGTTTTTAGAAAATAATTGCAGCAAAAACTTTGTCCAATACAGATACCAGACACACAACCTCTACAGAGGCAAAATTTTAGTAGGAGTTTCCCTAAATATTTATGTTTTTTTCTTGCCAATTACATTTTATTTTCTTTCTTGTAAGCACTCAAGAAGATAAAGTAACACAGACTAAAATGTTGACAAACAGTTTCTGTAAATACTTGCCCAGTCAGACATCTCTAACTGAAAGGAACAACCAAGTTAAAATAAGCCATCAAGACACCCATGTCATCAAACCATACCTTTAAAACTGCAACACCTTTTCTTTTACACATTCTAAAACTGTTGAGAAGAAAAACGTATTGTTTGCAAGGTCGAAACTGGGTTGCACCCTTAGCATTGCTTGCAGATATACCGTAAAATACCGAGCATGTGCCCAGTTCACAATAAAGCCCACCCACTATTCTCCTAGTCTGCATCTTCTTCAAGCACCCTGGTGCAAAGTGAAGAAGGACACCTCACCAGTGGCCTTTCTGCACTTTTTTTCATCTTGGGCCTAAAAAGCATGCATCCCCCAGTTTTTCAAGATTATGTCCCAATTTGGGGTGGGTGCTTGCTGAATATTTTACAGTAGGTAAATCTGGGCACAATTGAGGTAGTACTGGACAAAAGTTAAGTTTCATGAAGTTTCGGCAATCGGTGCTCGTAATTTACGGCTCTTCTCACTATGTTTTGCAGTTTTCCCTGTCAATGAAAAAAGTTGTCCCGTATGAGGCAGAAAGTTTAACCACTTAACAGATGGTTTTAGCAGTTACAAATTTTTTTTTAAATTTAAGATGATTGAAGAATATCTTTTGATTGCTACATATTCAACAGCTTTTAAGCCCACATTACAATTTTACAGTTCCATTAATTATATCTTCAAACAGCATATATAGATGTTGCAAATATTATTTGCCACAAGTGCCACGTAAGGGTCCATTAGTGTTGCCATAGCAAAAACCTTCTCTAGGTGAGGTAGATTGGAGTGCAAACATACAACTCTGGGAGCAACAAATGACTGCCAAACAAACCTAGAAAAGAAAAAAAAAAAGAAAAAAAAAACTGCTTTTACATTTAGTGGGTACTTTTCCTGCCGTGTGAACATTAAAATACCATCAGTTGGCAACTTAATGTGGTCATCCGTCTGTACTGATCATTATTAGTTGTAAAAGTAGTGAAGTGATCTCGGCTGAATATTTCCAAGTGGCACCAGATGGCTCCAACAAAGGTTCCCGACAAAACGCATAAAATAAAATGGGCAAGAAAGTTACAATTATCAAAATAAACGTTATACCTAATCAAACCAAGGTACCAAGCGGACATCTCACAGAAATTTAGCGTTTCGGCTTAAAGCAATGTTTTGCACCGCTTGATTGTACTAACTTTCGCACGGTCCCCATCGAGTCCGAAAAATCGGTAAGCGATTACATATTGCTCTTTCCAGTCTGTAATTACCAACAAATATTTCATTTACAGCTTTCAATTCTGGCAACAATGTTGCCCCGAGAGCTTGAGATGAAAATTTAGATTGCCTTCTGCCCAACGAGCGATTTACATTAACTATTGCACGCCCGCCCCCTTTTGGTGGTCGTGTGCCCTTCCCGGAAAGCAGGGGGCACAGGGGACTCACTTTCCACCGATGTCCGCACTCGTTGCAGTAGCAGAAGGTCGTCATCGGCTCGTCGGCACTCCTCGTTTGTACCTGGTCGTGGGAAATGGTATGTGTCAGCAATTAGGACGCAAAGCCAAAGACTATTTTCAAAATTAAGTAGAACCAAGTCTGTTGGCAAACAAAAAAAGACTTAGCACTCGAGCAAGCAGGCTTCATAACTAAAGTTAAGCCTTTTTTCAGGTACACAAGCATCTAGGCTTAGCGGATAAGGCTGAGCCCACTAATAATAATAATGTTACGAGTATGCTTATGCAGCTGGAAGTTAGTCAGCCTCAACGGGCATCTGGTGTGTGAGCTGTAGATGAGAAATTTTGTGAGTGCAGTAGTCCAACCGCTAGGCTTTAACGTGCACCACGCAGTAGTGCTACACGACTGCACGCTGGTACAACGCTAATCCAGATCGAAACAGACAGGGCTGGGGACTGAACCCAGGATCCCTGGGTTCTGCAGCGCGAGCTTTCAATTCACATGCTTCGAGCTCGTGTGGCTAAGCCCACTTGATAACAAGAATGCTGAGCAAACGAGCAAGTAGGCTTAGCGAGCAAAGCTATGTCCAACGTTACTAGAACGACTCAGTTGGGAAACTGCCATAAAGCCAGCTCTGGAAAAGTGTCACCGATCCATACTCGAGAACTGAACTAATGGAGAAGACGACGCCACCATTTCTCCTGCAGCGGCCACTCGGGGAACTGCATGGCTGCTTCTATCGGTTCGTGAGTATCGCATTCGATAACAGCCACTGTGACCTCTATTTCGGCTTCACTCGGCCAAAATCATTTTAGCGCCGAAACATATACGGTGCAAAGGGTTTCGGGATGCTGACCCCCGTTTCCCGAGCGGACGCGCCGCGAATTACTACCAAAGTTAGGACGCACCCAGTTCGGGATGCGCTACCTGAAACCACTGGTGAGACGTGGTTGTATAAAAACATTGATTGTGCTGCAAAACCTTGTAAACTAAAGATTTTAGAAAACATCACACGCCTGTTATTTTGTACTAATATCCAACAAAAGTTCCTACAAAAAGAGTTTTTTCTGTTTGTTTTTATGCAAAAACATGTTTTCTGAAAGCTCAAGGTGACCACAGTAAAGAAAAAGATTGAGCCGCCATTTTGGCATCTCGAGCCTGGAGGTTTTGGTACTCTAGGATCATTCAATGACTCTAGTGGTAGCCATACAAAGCAACTTTCATGTTTCAACTCATCTCTAAAAGGTGGTGCTGCTATTGGTATTTAGCTCGGTCTCAGTGTACACCAGCGGCCCAGGTTTCAAGGGTAAGTTTCCCAACTGAGTGTTTTAGTAACGTTGGCTATACCTATCCGATTGCAAGCATGCTTAATGTACGAGCAAATAAGTTGACACGAGCAAATAGGTAAATAGGATGACGCGAAAACTGCTTGTGACACCACAAAGTAATCTTCCGTGTTTTTTGGCAAAAATACTGCCAAAGGCACTTAAGAAAGGTTTGCAATTTGGGAAGCATCGTTAAAGGTGTGCGTCTCCATTGGCGGAAGCAAGCAAAAATCGAGAGTACTAAATAAAAATAATCTTAAAAAAATCTCGCGGTATAAATTTTGTTTTAATTCGAAGTTTGTCTAATTAAAAGCATTCCACTGTCCCCGCGAGCTTTGAATTAATGAAAGTTGACGGTATGGTCAAGCAAGTTTTCAGGGTCTCTTGCCATACCTAGATACTTGGGGAGCTAATAAGTTAGGTATATGAAAACCAACACTAACCATTACTTCACAAGTTGCATACAGAGAATATTTTTGCTTTAACACGGACCCCTAGTGTTCTCTGAGGCGCTCATCATGATCCAAGAATCGAGCGCCAAAGGACAAACCTGGTTGTAGGTACAGTTGCTCTTCCTGCACTTGCCGCACTTGAGCAGGTCCGTCTTAGTGCCTCCCGTCACCGCCATCTGGTGATCGTTGATGGCCTCCTTGGTAAACTTCTGCCGCATCTGCTTCATCTCGTCGCTCGCCATCTCCTGCACAGCAACCAGTCGGCAACGATCCGGGTGCTGCCGATTTGATTCCAACGAGCACCCCACATAGGATACCCTCATTTCCTTTCAAGGAGGAAAGCAAAACCATAGACACTCCAATCACAGAAACCAATGGCACTTTCCTATAACAACCCGCAACATTCGCATTGTCTTAAATGCAGAGTATTTATAGGGCCAGTTCTGAGCACTTTCGATGCCAAGTCTGGAATGTAGCCTCAACAAAGCATCCAGCGCAGAGCGTGCGTTTGCCGGCTGCACATTCTACGTGCAGCCGGCGACTGCTCTTGGAGCGGGGGCAGGGGGCAGTGTGCGCTCAGCAGTAGTAAAGCGGAATACATGTACTAGTTGACTGTACTACAGATACTAGTATTGAGGTTCTTGCTTGTGGGCTTCATGCACAACGAAAGCAGCAAGGATCGACAACGGTGGGCACGGCAAGGTGAGGGGGGGGTTACAAGGGACACCACTGCAAAATGACGACGCCCAGCCCAGCAGCAACAAGAAGCCAGCTGCCATTACACAGAAGCCGATCGGCAGTTCATGGGCCTGTTCACAAACAAGCGGTTTGGTGCGGCACGTAGCCTGCATAACGTGTGTGACAGATTGCGGTGTTTTGTCCTGGTGGTGATATTGTTTCACCACAAAAATAAAACAACATGATCCAGGCTCAACATACATGACAGAAAAGCAGCGTACTGCTTGCCAAGGTCCCTCGGAAATAAAATAATGACATCAGAAGCTCTTGGCGCCCTATTGCCATAGCCACGTATGCGATGCAGCCGGAGATTGACGATTCCTCGCTTACTATAATTGCACTTTGGAACACGATGACATGTACCGAAAACTTGAGCGAATTTTTGTTTCCTACATATATCATTTAACATCAGGCTCTCGCCGCTACGTCAGAACTTGACAAGCAAATCAACATACCTTTTGTCACATCCATTCTGTTCCGACACAGGGCTGTACAAGCAGGCACTTCACTAAAGCACGAAGATATGAGTGGAGGTATAGACTATATACATTTATTTATAACCTTGTCTTTGAGTCAGCCTGATGCCAGGACATTGCCAACTTTGAGTCAGCCTGATGCCAGCACATTGCCAACTTTGAGCCAGCCTGACACCAGCACAATGCCAAGTTTGAGCCAGCCTGATGCCGGCACAATGCCAATTTGAAACTGGCACGATACCAATACAACGCCGGTACTCACGTCGGCCGTCATGCGAGCAATGCGGTCGGGATCGATGGCCCCGTGAAGCACGTTGAGGCGCAGGTTCGGATTCTTGGAGTCCTTGAGGTTGGAGACCCGGCTGCGGACGCGGTTCTTGTACTTCATGTTGGTGTCGCCAAACTCCTTGAAGATACGTGCGTGGCCCACCGAGACGGCCGGAGGGAATGAGTCAAGGGTGCACACACCGACCAGCTGCAGTCTAAAAGGGTGTTCTGAACAGAAAGAAAAACCTCCCCTCTCAAGTTGTGTTTATCCAAACTGAGAGACTCCAGCTGAGACTACCGCATAATGTGTGTCCTGTTCAGATCATGGCCACCTTGGTGGCTATAAGGCATGGCGCCAGCCTACGGATCCCAAGGTGGCGGGTTCGAATCCCGGCCGGGGTGCCCGCAAATTGAAAGAGGCTTATTGTGGAGAAGGTAGGGTGTAACCGAGATTTCGGTTGCATGTCGAAAAATTAAAAGTGGTCAAAATTAATTTTTAATGTTCTGTTGGGACATCAAAGATGCCTTTTGCTAGTTTGGCATGTAGTTTGGCAGACCTCTTTCCTTCTGATGCTACTCACATTTCTCGCTGTTTCTCTACTGGCTGACAAACAGGCTTCCGGAACGAGGCTGTTGCCTGCTACGCTCTAATGTTCACAGACTGCCACCATCCATGCATCGCAACTTTTGGTGCCACAAAGCAGAAGACTTCACTGGCTAAACATACAGTCCCTGGTTACAACTATTTTACAAGCTGATAGCATTTAATTTTGGGTGAACGCGAGCCGAGAGCAAAGTTACTAGGGAGCTTAGACATGCCAGTGCCACACACAATGCCACGAAAGGATATATTCTTCGATCTTCGCTGCCAATCCATCGAGGTCGCAACCGTCTGGCATATCTGCAAGAAGACAATTTCGTTTGGCCACATTGTTGACTTCTTCAATATTTCATCGAACAGCAGAGAAGTACAGCTTGTGCAAAAACCAGTCTGTAAAGCCGACATGTTCTCTGGCGCTCACAAACCTAATTTAAGGGGAGACACCCCCTGAGACGGTCAACTTTTGAACCCTTGGCTCAAAATTCATGAAATTTACAGGGTAGGCTGGTGGTCATGCTGGAGGGTGCATAACAAAATTTCACGTCAGTCAGTTAAGTGGGAAGGAAATTAGGGCAGCTTCTATCAGCAACACCCCTACATTGTTTAGTTAATCTATCGTCAGAATACTATCACAATATTCAAGATTTTTATTCGCTAGATATGTAGCAGAATGCCCAGGATATGGAAAGTGTTTTGCAAAAAGTAATTGATTTCTATCGATTTTCCCTTCTGCAAAATTGGTCAACTTTTTGGTCTTCTGTGTCTCCGACAAAATGTCAATACTTTTTATAAAAGACATCCATAAAGGGACAAACAAGCTTCATAGGCACATTCCTTATTAAATTTCAGTCAGGAAAAGTGAAGAACAAGCCTTTCCTGTATTATCAAACAATAGATTGACTAAAATGGAATTTATACCAAAAAGTGGAACGGAGAAAAATGTGTTCAAAGTGCTCCAAACCCTACCTTTTCTTTAGCTTCGGTGGACAAAAAATAATTTATAAAAAATTAACTATGCAGTGTAAACTAGTAAAAATTTCTGTGAATACTCTCTGGATGTAGATGGATGTAAATATGCAATTTTTCAAAATCAATGTTTTTTGCACAATTTTTTTTTTCTCTGGGTAGTGTCTCCCCTTAATGCAGATTCCTTATTTTTATAAAAGAACAATTCGCAGAAAAATTATAGCCATGAGCCAGAGCCTTAGCACTTCCTAGCTTTATGCTAAGTATCAATGCTATTTGTAGAAATGCCTGCAAGCTAAATCAGTGGTCAGAAACTTCTCCACATGGAACGTTTTTACAGCGGAGCTGTTAAGGGCTCGTTTCCCTAGGATCGTGTCCGGTACCAAACAAACGTCGACACCCATGGCCGACACAACACTCTGATAGCCGCCGTCGCTCATAGATGGCGGTAGCTGTCCAGAGTGTAGTGTTTGCCGGTTGTCTGCTTGCCGCCGTCGCTCATAGATCGTGGCAGCCTTTCTTTGGAGGAAGAAGAGCGGAAACGGAAAGAGCGGCAATGTGCGCAGCAGTGCGAATGGTTTCGCAATCGCCGCAAGGTCGCTATCGCCTAAAGTTACACTGTGTCGAGCGCTTCAGATTCCCTTGCGAAAGAAGAGCAGATAGCTCGCCTGGAAAGCCACCACTGAGAACAGAAGCTACAGCTCCGCTGCTCTTCCTTCTTTTTTTATTTTTTTTATTTAACATATTTTATGTAGTTTGGTTAGGCCATTATATAAGGAAAAGTTATATATGCAGTAGTTTCTGCATAAAAAATATGCACTAACTACATATTTCTTATCCTTTAAAGGGGCCCTGCAATCATATTTAAGCATCTACCTTTTTTGCAGTTTCCATGTCTCTTGGGGTTCGGGCAAGCCAGTGGGCACGGAGAGAGTAACTAAATATCAGTGTACGCGGAAACCTCCTCCACCGACGAGGGCGACCCGCAGTATCGAAACCGTGCAAAATGTGACGTCTATGGTCCTAGGCTTACTACTGGTCAGAGCCGCTAAAAGCTTTTTTTAGTCGTAATGCAAAATGTAAGTGGCGCGAGCCGTTTTAATTATTTATAAAAGTAGTCTTTGTTCAGTATTTTAGATCAGAAAAGAAACGAGTGCAGTTTAGAAAGTACGGAAACAAGAAATGACTCGTTGACATACCCGCCACCAAGCGGTGGAAAAGGCAGCGCATACTAGAAAGGAGTAGTGGGATCAGGCCCCGACACGGAAAGGTCCCGGATGTACGCGGCGGCACTGCGGTCGTATGGACAGGGGGATCCGACCGGCTCCGAGCGTTCCGAAGGCCATCGGCGAGAAGCTTTGTCTTGCGGTTTGGCTGTTTCGCAATATGGCAGTGCGAAGTGGCTCCCATTCTGAACTGCTTTTTACCCCGTGTTTCTGTCATTTGTGGCCAATGAAGAGTTATGCCGAATTAGTGTTTAATCGTGCAGCAAATGCAATGAGAGCCGCTCTGGCTGCCCGCTGCATACAGCCTATCCAGAACATGCCTTAGTGGCGCCCTCTTGCGCCATCAATACGGAGTGCGGTAGCCGTGAGCGCTCAATGAGCTCACTACCCCTCCTCTAGTTCACGGCCACTCAAGCAACCAAGGACGTCATGAAGGAGGTTATTTTTTGCTTGTTTTTGTAATTTTAATTTGCCTATAACTTTTAAAATAAAGCGAATTTCGAAAAAAGAAAAGTTTCACTAAGTTACTACGTTCAGTGCGTTCAGGTTTGGTGCAAATTAAAAACCAGTAAAAAAGTCCTTGCAGGTCCCCTTTAAGTGTCTCTTCAATTTTCACATTAGGCCCAAGCATAAATTAAGTTGTGACACCACTTGTACTAAAATAAGATCAGTCTCTTTTTTTTTATGCGTCACCTTTCAAAATTAAGGCTACCGAATACTGACAAAACCTAACAAAATCGACGTTTCAGCGTAACAAGTGACGGTAGAACGTCCCTCTCCATGTAAACTGATATGGCTACAATAAGAATGTAGTCAAGCCAAAGGGAAGTAGGTTTGTCATAGCGTTACAGGCAAAAATAAAAGGGGGACCGGTGGCCGAGTGTGCTAATGCACCACAGCTCAAAGGACGTGGAGTGAAAACTTGCACTGCAGAACCCAGGGATCCCGAGTTAAATCCCCACCCCTGCCGTTTTCGATCTGGACGAGCATCGTACCGGCGTGCCGTCGTGTATAACTGCTGCGTGAAGCAAATGAAGACCCCAGGCTAGCAGTCGTACTGCGCTGGAAAAATGTCTCATCTACAAACACTGCCTAAACACACACACAACACAAAAGCAAAGCCAACTAGACGTTGAATGTTAGACAGCAAGGGGTTGGTCCATCCTTTAGGTATGGCAAAGCTGGTTTACACTGCAGATAAAAAATTCATCCAGTGCAGTATAAAGGCTGACCCGTGGTCTTTGATGTGTGTTACGAAGTAATGATTATGCACATATGTGGCAATATGATGCTCATTCATATCGAAACGTACAAGAGTGGCAATTGAACCCGGGAACGATTTTTAGGCTCCGCAATGGTAGCTTTTGCTCACTGCGCTTCGATCTATGGTTAATTAACGCGCTCGGCCACTGATGCCGACATAGTTAAGGTACTCGGTAGTCTGTTGCAGGCTAAGAATAGCGGGGCACGTCGCTTCCACAAAGCCCTCTATCCTTTTCAGTTTAGCAAAGCAAATGCTAGAGGGGAGGAAGCCGTCAGTCGTGATGAGCAGAGAGCCCAGTGAAGGGGAAACTCTTCTCCTTCTTATGTTGCACCAGATTACCATATAAAACTCTTTCCTGGACTAACTGGCTTTGCTATTGGTAGGTTTGACCGTGAGAGTACTGCCCCAGTAAAGCCGACCAAATCCGAAGACAAGGAGCCTAGCCCTGGCAAAGAGCCAACTCACCGTCGCATTTGAGTGCGCTGCTGATGAGCTCCCGGCACTTGAGCCGCACTGAGTTGGTGGTGTCCGCCGGGAAGGACGTCTGCTTTGCGTTGTGCGGTGCCTGCTTGGCGCTGTACGTTGTCTGCTTTGAGGCGGCGCTCGTCTGTGCTGTGGCCTTGGGTGTGCTCACGGTTGTTTCCGACTCCTTGCTCGAGCCGCCATTGCTGTCCCCGCCCTTCGATCCGGGGGTACCTGCAAGGCCGGAAGGGTGGTAGAGTTCGGACATTACTTCATCGGGTCATGGTCTTTAAACATCTCTTGTCTGGAAAAGCTTTGCAACAAGTGTCATTGGGGAAAAACAAACATTTTTGAAAAACCAAATAGTTCTAGAGCAATATTAGTCAATCCATTTTTAAGATTTATTTATAACAGATTGAACATATAAACTGGTTCTATATTTAAACAAAAAAGCATTTTGATGCTATCAACAGTTTAAGCTGGTTTAGGCATGTGTTCGAGTGTGTCCGATTGACTACACACTGCACGGACCTTGGTTGCAGTGGCAATAATCTTATTATAAGCAATCATAAGTGGTCATATTGAAGTCGGTCACAAGTCGGTCACACACAAAGACGCATGTCTGAACCAGCCCTTACAAGTTGCTGCGATAGGCAACACTATTAGTCTGCCATTTACACTAATTTTCGTCGTAGTCGTCTGCTTGCTCAGAGCGGTAAGCCTTGCAACCTTTATCCAGCGGCGTGTGGTGGCAGCGCTGTCTCATTCACGTTGGCAGCCTCAGACGTGCTTCTGGCAATGCTGGAGTATGTTCCAGCTATCGACACCATCTCTTAGAACACACAAAAAGCTATGAAGCGTTCTTGAAACATTGGTGAGATTTTGAGGTGAGTAATGGATGTCTGGCCATGTTGGATCCAAGGTCTTCGCTACTGCAGGAGACATGGAGGCGTAGGTGGCGGAGGCTGGGAGACGGCATGCTGCGGCGTGTGGAGCAGAGAAAATATAGTGCGGCAACACACCGCTCAAGCGCTGTCTTCCGGTCAATTGTCTCCTGTTTCTCTTTATGCCCTCGATAGAACGTAGTAGCCGAAAACAATGCTGTCGCTTTGCAAGCCATAGCTGTGTGTTGTTGGCTGGTCCGAGGTGCCCTGATGTGCCGGTCGCGTGTCGCTCCGCAAGCATCGCAGACTCTAGCAACGTAATTGTCCTCCGTGTCATCTGTTTCCCACACTTTGAAAACATATTTTAGAACATCGCTTACGTCACAAAACAACACAATTATACTGCACCCAGTGGCTACACATAATCTTCAATGGTCAAGGAAGCTTTCGTTCGATTTTAGTGCAGGATGTATATTTTGCAAACGCAAAGCGAGAAACATGCTCTGCCTGAAACTCGGCGCCTGCAAGGTCGCTTTTCCTCATGAAAGTTGGATCCAGCTCGGCACACGTGACTACTTCTCAACCAATATGAAGTTGGCGGAGCGAGGAAAAAGAATGCAATACTCTAGCTCTGTAAGCAGAGCCTATACAGTGTAGAAGCCACTGGTTCCCCGTTTCCCCCCCCCCCCCCCCCCCCCCCCCCAATGAAGCCATAAGCCGCGAACGTTCTGGCAGGAGTCGTCTGGCTTAGAGCCTGCTCGCTCTGTATCATGTTAGGGAAAGTATGCCACCTTGCTGGCTTACTCTCTTGCACTCCGTGCGCCTCTCAATTTCAAGGGACCAGCGAGATTGCACGGGACAGTCGGGCGTCCCCTCTTTTGAGTGAACGGCCGTCTGCTCGAGGAGTCCTGGATTGGATTCTGGGTGACGGATCGAGTCACGGCATGAGCTCGTCCGACCGGCAATGACTCAACGCTAGCGTTTCCACTGGCTCCGACAGTCGGCGTCCTTTTCTCTGAGTGGACGTCCGTCTGCCAAAACTCCGACCCAAGCTCCTGCGACGACAGGCAGCGGCTAACTCGGCCCACTGGCGACGATTCCGTTTGCGATCACTTTTGGCTCTCAGGTTGGAGGGCGCTGAGGGGACTGTGTCCACAGCTTGCCATGACCGCATTGTCATGTTGGGGACCCCTATTTCCCATTAAATGCTATTGGATACTGTTTGATCATTGTTGTCGGCACGGCATTAGCGAACCCGGTGCGGCAACCGCCCTCGCTGGTAGCCGTCGGCCGCGCAATGTGACGGGCATCAGGTTACCCTTTGTGCATCGGTCTTGGGACGTAAAGGTATGTAACCCCCACTACAGTTACTCTACTCCCGCCGCCGAGAGTGCCCCCCACTGGTGCTTCTGTTTGTCCCTAGGTAAAGCTCCTCCTTAGCATGACCAAAAGTTTCCAGATTTTAGACACCTAAAGACCGGGCTTTAACTCACATGAGCTCTTCGTAGGGAAAGCCTGTCCGTTTAATTAACGAAAGGAAACCTGCGACTAACGGAAAAAAGATCATGTTTGGACCGTGGAGCTTTGAGTATCTTTCCTGGAAACCTCCCAGCCCACCAAGCTTACCGGAAAGCAGCTTTTTCCAGCTTTTGATGAGGAGCTTGGCCAGCGTTATCACTTCCTCGTCGTTGCTCGATTTCCGCAGGGAGTTGACCGCCATGCCTATTCTTGTCCTCTGCAAGATAAAGAGCTGGCATTGGGGCCTCCAACCTTTCATAATCTGCGCATTTTCTAGAGATGACAACCAGCAAAATTTGAAACTCGAGTGTAGCATATTTGTGTAAAAGCGAAAAACAGAAAATTTCGTGGCCTTCATAAGGTAGAAATGTCACAATGCCCCTTTTTGCACGTTTCTCCTCTCTAGTGTTTTCCACATGAACTCACTTAAAAATTGCTTAGGCAAAAACATCCTTACATATCTCTCTCTCTTTCTCTTTAGCACATAAAAAGTAATGTAATAAAAAAAAGGCTGAACTGTTTTTAATCTACACCATGAGAGAAGGAGACATAAAATCAGACAACACGACACAAAAGTGAGATTTGTGTCTGTTATTTCGTTCATTCCCGTCTCGGGGTTGAGAACCTTATGACGTTTCCTCATCAGCTTGCCTGCATGCTTTCTCTTACTAAAACGTTGCCAGTTTTCTGTTTTTAAAAGGAACCATTTCAATTAATAAAGTCACTTGCAGCCCGTGCCTGATTTCAAGGGGGAACCACATCTCAGAACGACGACACTAGGAAGCTATGTGGCCTTTTATCTCAGAACCGTTATTTGCTAGACAATGAAAGCAGCTGTTAGTGGCGCAAGAGACGGACAGGTGTAAACCGAGCCAAAGAAATAAATACAGCAAAACAAAAAATGCACATCTTAAAAGCGCTAGCACCTCCTGCTGTATGTTCAAAGCGCAGCATGGTAATGTTGTCAATGAAATAACTCTTTGGATAAGTTTCCAAAACTGAAGATAGGAACAGGAAGCGGCCCTTGGTGGATGGGTCGACGGCACACTATTGAGATAGTGACGACATGACTGAAATTACTACATCGCTCTTCCAAGCGTCATTGTGGGCCAGGCTTGCGGCACTTCTTTTAAGCGGAATTTTCTAATCGGGCAAGAAAATGCGGAAACCAATCTTTGAATATCTAGAACAGGGGCAACCAACCAGCGGCTCGCGAGCGGCATGCGGCTCTTCGTGGGTCCAAAGGCAGCTCGTGGCTCCCTGGTAAATGTGCCGCTTCTATGTCCCCAAAACGAAAAGAGTTCTAAAACTTGAAACAAAAAAGCTCGCAATCTTGGCAGCCTTATATTACACTACGTACATAAAGCTGGACTGCTTTCTGACACATCGATGTAGCCAGCGATCCTGTTTTCTTTATTGTTCTAGAAAGAATTTCGAGCAATATACGCATAACGGACGTCAGGGGCAGTGGCTAGCTAGCGAACCATGCGTTCATTTTCGCTTAGCGGTTGAAGAAATGCTCTGTGGCCTGGAGTTATTTGTTGTTGTCAAAAATTAAACTTGTCCCCTTTAAAAAGGACTGTTCCCTCCATGGTGTTTTTTTCTAAAAGTAGCCCTCGCCATTTTTGTTTTCTTTTTTCTGCGGATCTATGAATTTTTGTATTTTTGTCTGCGGCTCTAACCCCATGTCACTGCGGCCACCCCTGATCTAGAAAGTCGCTACCTACAGGCAAAATGACCCATAAAGCCAATAATCAAAAATTAATGAACAGAATATAGTCAATTAGCGAACTTACCGCACCGGTTTCTCTCTCATCCAATGTCCGCTAGCCTGATAAATACATGGCGAAGACAGCACCTGCATAGCTCTCACTAACTTTTTGTTTTCATGAGATTGTTTGAATAAAAATCAAAGAACCTGTATAACAATGAATGTTTTGGTTCAGACTTTAATTGTGTTAGTGTTTTGCACCATATTTTGGACTTGTAATAACATAGGTCATTGTGCACAATAAATTTAGATGTTGCCATTTTAGCATTTCTTTTAGAACAAAATCAGGGGCTCTCTTTTGAAGTTCATATTTACTGAAAATTCAGAAAGGATGTTTAGCGTTGGTCTAGGTAGAATACAGCAGTTTGCGAGTTTAGTAAAACAGCCTTCTATAGAGAACACAACAAAAGGTAAGCCTTCCACAACATAATTATATTATAAATAAGCCTAGAGCTGCACACTCATATGTCTCGAGACAAGCCCTCTTCAAAGGGATGTGCCAACTAAAATTTCGGTACTCAACAAAGTGCAAAGGTTTCCATTAGTTGTGCTAACTTGCATGTTGCAAAACTTGCAGACAATAATGTTGTCGCTGCCAATCACTTCAAAATCAAGGAATTCTTTTGCTTCCTACCTGTCACACGGAGGCACTGAGATGTCTGACTGAATCTACTGAACACCTGTCGTTAATGTGGAAAGGCAAAGTCAAATTTGGTGTTTTATATGCCAAACCAACAAAGGGCATCTGGCACGCTCCAGCAAAGTACTAAGGATTAATTTCGAACACCTGAAGATCTTTTGACGTGCGACCGAAATCTCAGTTGCCTTCTCCGCAATAAGCCTCTGTCAGATTGCGGGTCTCTTTGGGTGGGATTCGAACCGTCCACCTGGGACCCGTAAGCCGACGCTTTACCTCGGAGCAATTGAGGCGGCTCCTTCAATAGAAGGAGGCCGGAGAAAGGCAAATAAATGTCGAGAAAGAGATAACATTAGCACAAACATGCAATCACCAGATTTCACCAGCCAAAAAACTTCTAGTGTGGTGGAAAGTCATAATTTAGGCTGGTAACTTTAGCAGTAAAGTTTGATGCCCGTCGATACTGGGCCCGAATAAAACGCAGAAAAGCGTCGATGTCATGTTAGCGCTTAGTGTTTTGCAGTGTGCAGGATAAAAAGGCTTTAAGTGGGGCGGCAGAAACAGCAAGACATGTTCAACTATTATCGTACAAAGTTACCCCCTTTTCCCGATAAGAGATTGATTTTCCGATAAGAGATCGAAAGACATTCTTTTGCGATCCCTAGAAACTGAAGTCACAAAAGCTGTCATATGAATTACAACAACCGGTCAGGATATTTCAACCAGATATCCTTAAATTCGTAGTTCTTCAGATAAATTCCAATATGCCATATCTTTACCAGAGTGTTTTCCGGATTTTATCAGATTTACAAAGAACCCTATAATGCAGTATTAAATGTCTTCACAAAACATAACTTCATTTTGGAAGAAAAAGTCAGGTATTACAGTGTATGTAGTTCATTATCTGTATTCCAAGATACTCTTTTCCCATCTTTGAAAAGCTATCTGAGAAATATCCCAGATAAACATATCTTACTGCTTGCATTCCCGAAAGCTTTTCTAAGAATCTCTGCCCAGCTCAACCAATCACAGACAGAGCAGATTACGGGAAAACATTGTTTTGACTCGCCTGTGCTTCTTATTCGGGAAGCTTCTCGATTGCCATGCAACATAGTAAGCACCAATTCCCCATAAGCTTGTAACTGCTCTCATTTCAGTTGCCGTGAACACGAACCAGCATTTAATTCATTACCAAGGGAAGTTTGATAGAACAAAGTCTCCACAAACTGTCGCTCTGTTCTGCAGATTCAGCCAATACTGTGATATTAAGTCTTTGTCGGTAGAACTGTTTATGAATGCCTTAAAATAATGATCAAACTTCATCACTGTGGACGTTTAACTGATCCTTGTATTCGTTCGACAAATCCATGTATCTTCAGATTTCTTGTTGTGTCTTAATACGCATATGCTACTCATGTCTAGATAGTACCGTTAACTATTCATTCGTTGGTTTATTATCGTTTCCGCTATTCCAAATGCATGGACACAGCCTGATCCAACCAAACGGCTCAAAGCTGTTCTCACAACCTTGTCGATGGCCCACCATAGCTCCAAGTGAACCGATCGTGTCAAGGGGTAAACAAAAATTGATACTTACTTGAAGTATCTCTAGTGTTATCGGCAGTTCTTGAAGGTTCTTCAACAGGTCCAACGCTTGGGCTTGGTCCTGGTGTGAAAATAAACAGCGTGAATACACAAAACGAATGTACAAACGGCGCGGCGTTCGTAGTAGCAGCCAGAGATAGAAAAAAACAGAAACGAACTAACGGGGAGTGCTGATCGTGCGTGCTAACATTTCCGACAGTGAAGAGAGATGCGACGATTGTCCGTTCGAACTCGTCTACGCAGCTGAAAGAACATAGGCCGAAATTCAAAAGTAAACAGTTCTAAATTACGATCATGCGAAACGGACTCAAGCGCGTCGGGGCTAGAAAGAGCCTACAAAACGTGCCCAGCGCTTTATTGTTCTTGAATTAAGAACCACATCACCTATATTTGGATAGCGACGGGTGTTTCTCGGGGAAGCCGATATACCAGTATCGTCTGCTTTGGACGGCATGCACGTCGCACACCAGTACACTACTACGCCCCAATAAACGCGTATTACATTGCGGTCTTCAGTGCGAACACTACAATCTAGCGCGTGCAAGGCCGCGAGGTCTTGGAAGCCAGAACGCGCCATGGAGTGCTGTGTTTGGAACATCGCTGTTGGCGCTGTTTTCTCTATGGCCAAGCGTGTAGGCTTTTTCTAGAAGTCTCCAAGCAAGGACACTTACATCGCTTCCTGCGGATGCCATTTTATCTAACCGTTTGGCGATTTTCATGACTTCATCTTCGCACCCCATTCTTGCCGCCAAGAACGACACGGAGCTCGTCCGATTTTTAATAAGAGCACGATATTTGCCGTTCGCGACGAGCAAATGGCGAGGCCTGCCTCCTTGAGCCGCGGCGCGCGCGGTGTTGTGGGATAGGTGGCTGTGTTAAGGGAACCGCAGCACCAGAAGTGGCGGCGAGGTGAACTACGCTGAAGCATCTAAATCTAATATTTACCTTGCGTTGTCCCTTTTTATGTGGGTGGCTTTACTTAGGAAACCCGTTACAAACCACGATGCTTTTAGCTTTTAACCAAAACTTAAACATCATTAACGAAACATTTCTGATAACAGGTTCCGATCTTAGACTTTCATAGATCTTGTTTCGGTTCTAGGGAGCAGAGTGGTGATGCGCCTCGAACATTTTTCATATGGGATTACGACAAAAAGAAATGCTGTGTGGTGTGCAGCTGAACATATGATTATACAACACAACGTCTGACATAAAAAAAAAAAAAAAAAAAGAAGGTATTTTTAGCTTACGATGTGCGAACAAACGAAAGCAATAACTGTAGCACGGTAGCGCAGTGCGGGTGGAATGGTGCAGTCACGTACCTGAAGACGGAGGTGCGCCGTAGTTCCCATAGTCGTCGTGGTTGGGGTTAGTGATGCAAAACTATCGATAAATTGACTATCGATGGCCGCCACCAGTGCTCGGTGGTCCGTGAAGTGGGTAAGCGCGGTGGAAGTTTCTGAAACCATCCAACATTTCGCGTAGCAACTGGATACTGCCAAAGTAGGATTTCGCATAACGCGAGTAATGCTTGAAAACAAGTCTTTCAAGCAGACGACACGGAAGACTCTCCTTTCGTCGCGTCGCTACTGGCAGGATGCCGGGGCTCCCCATCTCCGCGCTGCACGGCCCATGGGAAAACCAGACTTCTCTGGCCTCGCGCCAAGAGCGGAGATGGGTTTTTCCGTAGCGGCGACGACAACGGACGAGGTCGAAATCTCTGCAAAATGTCAGTAAAGCTATCGCTTTAAAATATAATACATAACAATGAAAAATATTTTTGACAGAACACCAAAATCAACTTGACATATGCCTATTAAAAAACGGTGAATTCAAAAGTGCTCAAAGCATAAACAACTTACCTCCAATGTGATTTGCATACAGATTCAAGCACAACAGTGAAAACACCACCAATGCAAAACTTATCACAATATCCCCACCCTTTTCACACACAAAAAGAACAGAAATAAGGAGGAAAAATATCTTTAATAACATTGAGGACACCTCAGAACTCAATTTGGAAATCAAAGTATGAAGGGTCAAAATAATGGACCCTGACGTAACCGTCTTCACCACCGCTGCTGTAGCTGTAAAAGAAACGAAAACCGGCAAAACATTAGCAAGGCAAACATACATTGACATCAGTGGACCCGTCTCAAGAAGAGTTCTGCGCATACACGGGCCGTTTTCATGCAGTGGTGAAAGCTCAAATGACGGCCTCTGGAAGGGGAGCTGCACTACCTCTCGTAAGATTTTATCTGAGTTTTTGAGGAAGCAGGAGAGATGGTGCGATTCCCCTTCCGGATGCCAACTGCATTTGAAACTTTTGCCTGCTTAGTGTGGTCTTTGTGAAAAGGGCTCATTTTGACCCTCAAACAGTCTATGCTAATCATAACAGCACCGCTGAAAAAAGAGAAAGGTTATAACTTGTTTTTATAAATTCATTCACACACAGAGGATGTGTGTGTGTGCATTTTTAACCACAGCACACCAAGGACCAGTGTTTTTCTCTCCGTTTTTTCTCAGTGATGCACCAAGGATCTCTTAAATTATTACTGACCCACCCTGCTAGGGCCTGCAGATTGTTATAACAGAAGCGCACACATAACAATTAGCCTATCCTATCAAACACTTCTAGCCTACTTGTTTTTTAGCAGAGCACTCTCTGAAATAGAGAAAAATATTTCTTGTACGACATTAGCAGCGTACCATGTCTTTGGGCTTCATTGTGTCCCACAAATTCAATGTTCTTCGGTGTAGGAAAAAAATCGGCATTTATTAGGGCATACAGCGAACGAAACGGGTCACAGCCGCGGAATATCCCAATCTCCGAAGAAAACATGCGCGCGACCTGAACACTTGGAGGACATTCCAGTAGAAGTATGAGAAGGGACCAGATAAGAGGTGTAGTTCCTAAAGAAAGAATTTCAGCGTGGGCTGTGTTCTGGGTACGGTGTAAGGTATATTTATATATGTCTGGACATTGCGTGTGTCGCAGTTGCCAGATAAAGTCCTCTTCTTGCATGTTGAGCTATTTAGTGCACAAAGCAGCGAGAAGAACAGGACAGAAAAGAGTGCTACTCACAACTATAAGTTTACTGACAAGAAAAAAAAAAAGGAAAAGAAGGAATGTTCAGCCTGGACACATGCATCTGTCACCAGCCCTGTTAATGATGGTCGCTTGTTCGACCAGGCACGTGCGGGGCCTTCCTTGTCTGTTGTAGGAATTCTTTTTTCTACTCACATCTATAGTTGTGAGTAGCACTCTTTCCTGTCCTGTTCTTCTTCTCTCTACCTTGTGTGCTAAATACTTCAATATGTTTAGACTGCCAACTAGCCCAAATGTCAATCTTACTACCCTTTATTGCTCTCCTCGCCCTGGTTGCAAGCGGCACCACCAGATGGCTCCTCGATGCGCGGCTAATGGCAACCTGTCGTAGGCCTGGTTTCCTGTGCTTCTCTATGGGAAACATGCTCGCTTTTAAAGTCATTTTCTGGGTACGCCACGTCAAGTAGAACTTGGCACTTGAGCTATGCGTGTTGCTTAGAGACTGCTTCGTCATTGAGCCAAGTTTCATGCCTTAACGGCGGCAATAACAGTCTTATGAATACGTCAAAGCGGAAAGATCTCTGGCACGGTGTTCGAGCCAGTGTCCTTCAAGGTTCAGAGCAGACACTCCAAATGGAAAGAGCGCGTGCCCAAGTGCAATGGGAGTAAGACACTTTTTTTTTTATTCTTATATCAGTTGCACCATCTGGACAGCGGAAGCGCTGCCGACTGAAGCTGCTCAGGCACTCGCGGATGGGACTTTATCTGGTCAATAACGTAGCAGCGTTCGTCGTGCTATGTGTTCTCACCCATACATGTCTCACACCGTGTTTCCAGTCCAACACAAAATGAAGCTGCAGATAAAGGGTGCTTTTCTAGACGCATGGGTTGCTCTTCTTCAGGGACAGCCCAGATTTGGGATTTCATGGGACTTCAATAAAACCGGCTCGTGCGTTGCTTTTCGGGGTTTGTCGAAATATACAGAAAACGTGGAACTCTCGATATACACACTAACTCTGTTATGTCACGCCGCAGTGGTGGCGTTTCGGCGCACTTCCGGACTGGGTGTGTGGGCGGAAGTCGCCATGCAGAATGGGCATTCCTTTGTTATTTCGGAAGAAAGCCGACTAAAACCTGCCTTCTCGTCAAAATGCCACGACTGGGGCTGTAATAAAAGAGCTAGAAAAAAAGTGAAGGTAGGTATTTGTATTGCTGTGTTTTCTGCCTGCTTGGTTCGTCCGAGATTGTGGATAGGTGCAGTGAAAAGGAAAAATCAGACACAGTCAAGCCACAATTCCTTGTGCGAAAAGCACTTTGGGTTGAATTCAAAGATACTGGTGGTCGTTGGATTCATTTGTTTCGTTCCAACATGAATGCGGGAAAACCGTTATGTTGTATGGGCCACCTGCAGACCACATTCAGGTCACTTTATGGTGTCTGATCGTTCAAACTGTCACCTGCCCTTTCAAACTGTCGTCTATTCGATCAAATGGCAGTGGCCAGTAGACCAAACGTTATAATAAGAAGTAAGTGCAGGCCAAAATACTTTTAATTGAAGGTTGCTTTGGGTAAGGAGGCACGGTGTAAACAGTAGATACAAGGAGATGTTGATCACTGTTATCGAACATCGCAGCTATTCTCCACGCTTTTGCAGACCGAGCGATGTCGCGACTGAAAATAGCGAGCAGGATTTTATCTTATCATGTGAATCGGGCTTTAGCGTCCATCCTGCGGCGTTCACGCGGAATAAATCACCGAATGTCACACTAGTTTTTACACAAAGTTTTGCAGTGCAACAAGCCTCGTTAATTTCACTCAGGCCACTAAAGTAGTAAACATATCTAGGAAGACTTAGACCAACAATTGCAAAGCAAAAAAGAGCACGGGGACTCGCACCGACGCTGAAAACATTACATTCCAAAAATTTGTTGATGCGGGACGCGACGCTCCATGCCCACACCCCATCGCCAATGCGCAGTGCCGGCGGCATGCCGCTACGGGCGCTCCGGTTTGTTTGTAAATATGAGGTGGTGTATGAGCAACAGTATTAGAGGGCAAACTGTTTTTAAACTCCATCTGCCGAGATTGCCATTTCCCAGTGACAGTGGCAGTGACCTTGGCTTTTAGCATCCCAGGGTTGCAAAATGTTATGAGGACCACATAGCTAAACCTTGAATTAATGCTACAGTTTAGCAAAGGTCTCTGGTGACTCGCCATTTTGTTCACAATTCTGGCAATTCCAACAATAGACCCCTTTAAAGACTGCACCAAGCAACATTGGTGGCCCCCATTGCTCGAGCACAAAGCCCGTGATTGGATTCAAGTTCTCGCTGAATGCTAACGCAGCACTCGTTCTCAATGCGGGGCACAAGTTTGTCTGCTTTTTTTGCGGCGACGTCAGAATGCCGAGCTCAGATTGGCTCTGATTGAAGGATAGTGGGTAGACCTTAAGGGACACATGCAAAGGAAAAAAAAAAAAATTTTTAAACAACTTAGATCGAAAAAGGATGTCATAAAAAATTTTACAACAAATGAAAATTATTTTGGAGCTATATTTACGGCGTTACACGAATTTGTAGTTGGCGCCTGCGGGCGCCGCGGAAAAGGGGCCCTTATTTATCACGTGACTGGCCCTTATTTATCAGGTGGTGCTTGCGCTCTTTCGGAAGCTTCCTATGGCCTCTAAAAGTAACTTATTCATCTTTGTCTGAAGTTTAACCAAAAACTAAGATTAATAAGGAGCTTTTAGAGCCCAAAAGAAGCTCCCGAAAAAGCGCAAGCAGACGTGATAGACCTGTGCGCCGATCAGATGACGGCGGCGGCACCCCGAAGCAGACAAACTTGAGCGGCAGCGGCGACGGTGGCGTGGAGAAATTCGTTGAAGCGGCATCGCGCAATGCTTAGCTTGCGGCGGCGACGCAGCGCCGCCGCAAGCCTACCACGTGACCAGTGGCGGCTCCCGCGGGCGCCAACTACAAATTCGTTTTGCGCCGTAAATATAGCTCTAAGTTTTTTTTTTCTTCGTTGTAAATTCGTTTTATAATACTCTTTTTCCCTCTAGCCCATTTAAAAAAAAAAGTTTTTTCCCTTTGCATGTGTAATGCAAGGGATATGTAATGCATGTGTAAAGCAGCTTAAAGCAAGCTGCCTTGGGGTCTATCCACTATACTTCAATCAGAGTCAATCACAGCTTGACGTTCTGATGTCACCACTAGAGTCACTAAATAAAGCTACGCTCTCAGAGTACCGAAACTCCAAAAGAATGCGTCTGAAGCGCGTCAGGCGCCGCCATCTTGGGTCCACGCACAGATGGAGGGATGACTCTAGCCAAGTCAAGCCGAGCTGCAGCCGTTGCCTGCGCCACAGCTGCGCACAGCCGCAGCTGTGGCAGCGAATCAAGGTCTTGTTCGTATCTTGACGTACCATGAAAAACACGCATGCTGAGCAAAGGACTTCAGCATGTGCGTGCAGTAAACAGATAAACAGCAGCAGGCAGATGACCACTGGACCCAAGATGGTGGCATTGAGAAAACGCGATGATGATGATGATGATAGCGACTCACGTGACTGCGCCTGTCCAATGATGCTGCAGCGAACCAGAATATTTTTGGATAGAGCGACTGTATTGTCAGCAAAATGCCAAAGAAAAGGATTGCGGTACTCTGAAAGCGTAGCTTATTTAGTGACTCTAGTCACCACAACCCCTGCAAAAGCAGCAGACGAACTTGCTCTCCGCATTAGCCGAGCCAAATTCACGCCGAACGCCGACGGAAGTCGTCATGTCCAATATATGCTTGGAGCGTGTGCCCAAACAATGGCGGATTTGGATACCTGGCACTGCAGCCTCTACGTGGTGCTCACTTTCGAAAAGGGTCTATTGACAATTGTTTGCTGCCTCCGACTGAACGCGCTGTCGGACACTCACCTCTTTCCATCGGGGTGGAAGGCGACGCTGTTGATGGGACCGAAGTGGTCCTTCACCTTGCCAAACTCTTCCTCGAAGATGAGGTGGAAGAAACGGGCATCGAATTTACCCGCCTTCGTAGAAGAGGTCGTTACATCCATGGCTTCCTGACCACCTCCAAGCACCACCTGCGGGGCCCCGTGTCAATCCATGCTTTTAGGCAAGGCAAGCCGCAAACACAACAATACAAGTCGTAAGGAATGAAGAGGTCGATCCACGCTTTTAGACAATGCAAGCCACGTAGAAGTTTTGGAAGACTCGCTCAAAAACTTTTGTTTTATTTCTGCACTAACAATTTTGCTGCCGACATGTTATTTTCTCTTTCTGCTCAGTACCCCATACCCCAGCGACAAAGTATTCATGTTTGCCGAGTCTTTTAATCTACGAGGACTTTGTCATCCGGACAAAATATCTGCTGCTAGGAATCTGGCTTTCTTTCAACATGAGAACCGCTGGTCGAGAACTGATCATTTGGGAAAGTTCTCTCTCTCTCCTCCCATTGGATAGGTGGGACAACGACATAGTGCCCAAAATATTTTCCAAGACGTAGACCACCTAGCACACATACTCACAACCAAAAGTAGTGAAATCCATGAAGCGTTTTTATGACAACTGACACACTGAAATCACATTGGTTTAAAGGAGCTTTTGAGCGCATGGTTTATTTGTGCGACAATGCGAAGAGCAACATTGAATTAAAAACAGTGCAAATTGACGAGGACAAGCAGAAGGTCTTCTGCTTTTACTTGTCTTTGTCCTTTTTCGCTGCACTCATTTCAATATGCGTGACCAACAAGCCCACCAGTTAATTCTAATTCCTCATAGCTCCCGTACACCAAGACGCAATAATGCTGGTTTGATTTTTTTTAGTTTTTGTCAGTGAATACTAAGCACCTGTGCAGTAAAACAACTCTCGAGCAACAGGTACCTTGACCCCCATACTCAAAATTTTCAATAAAACAATTTTTTTTTTTTATTTTTTATGAAAGTGTCTTTTTAATCACATTTCAATGCAATTCGTAAGTGGTGAACACAGTGGACCTGCGATAATTCAAGGTCGGATATTTCATACTTCCAGTTAATTCAAACAAATTAAAGCATTTTGGTTGTCCCGCCCCGTAAGTTTTCGCTTAATTCATACTCTTTGCTAAGTGCAGAGGGTTAACCCTTCTGAGTGCAGTTCTCACCAAGCACCTATGCACTGCGGGAAACCAATACGTGTGAAGCTCGTGGGCAATGCTTTTCTGGAGTATGCGGGTGCTTGGTGAGAAGCGCACTCGATGGGACTAATCCACCGCAATTATGCAAGCTGTACTGTCCAGACAATCTGCTTCTAATATTTGTGCTTGTTTCTTTTATTTTTCCAAGGGGGTTAAATTTTATATTTAGATTATTCAGATTAGTTAGATTCACATGTTGGAAGCAGATTTATAAAATCCCTCAATTAAGATAGCTGGGCGTCTCTTTAGGTTGCATTTTCCATCAAATCTGTCCTTTACATGCCACCCTAATGTAGGCACAGAACTTTCTGAGGCCACGGCTCATGGATATAGTTACATTAAAGCTAACTGAGCTCAGGAGTGGACAAGTGGAAGGTTGCGAACAACCTTCCACATGACTTCAGTTGAATTTTTGTTTAAGCATGGTACAATGGTAGTAAAATGCTTGAAAAAACTATTCAATATTCGATTAGAAAGTATTTGGCCAAAGCCACTATTCGCTTCGAACTTCACTAATGTTTTATGTGTATGCCTGATTATAAATAGGCCTGTGTAGTGGAAAGTGTAAAAATTCTGCTAGGTATGTGTAGCTATTCCTATAGACGCTCTACACAGGCGCCAGATTAGAGCCGCCATTGCTGACCTTCTCTTGTCTCACCCAGATACCGAGCCACTGAAACGGGTATTGACAAGCCTTTACAAAGGACAAAGCTGGGGAGAAGGCCAGAATAGAATCAAACGTGGCAATAAGCTGGCCTGCAATGCTAAGGATGATGTGAAATAATCGCAACAAGAGGAAACTAAAACTGAAGGTCGGTTATGGCGGCGCCCATGTGCAACGGCTGCAAAGCGTATATAGCAAATAGCTACTTTGCATGGCATCATATTTAGATAAATTTTTGATAATTCAAACTTGTGATATATTTCAAACTAAAGTATGTGGCTTCCTGGAGTTTGAATTAATGAGAGTCGACTGCATTTGACTTGGGTCGGAAATGCCACCCAGGTGCGGTATCATCGAAAAGTATTGTGAGCTTGGACCGTGGAGGCCTCATTTGCCGGTCCCACATCCCTTCCGCTGTAGGCCTCACAATGTGAGATATTTTGGCTGCAATAGATGTTGCATGCTAAAGGAACTTGTTGCCATCGTCGTCTATTGTGTTGTGTTGTTATGTTGTGATTAATGAACACTTTTCGTAAAGCTCACCCCCTGCAATAATGCCTAATAACAATGCAAATATTTCTGTAAAAAAAAAAAAAAGAATAGGAGTTACGAATTTGAGCCTTAGAGTCTCATTCCTCTGGCATTAATGTTTCCATGCAAAACGCAGTTGTTTATTTTTAAAAATAATATTACTCGCCATAAAAAAACGGTCGGAATAGCTAGAACAGACAACGCCGGCAACAAAAAAAAGCAGACTACCAGACTCACATGCTCCTTGATGGGGGACAGCGAAGCAGAGTTGACCGGACGTTCCGTCTTGTATGTCTTGAGATGCTCCAAGGTGTCTGCATCAAAAAGCTGACGACCAACGAACACGGTAAGTCGCCGACCGGCTCGACGAAACGCATTGAGGCACGACCAGCAGAACTTGCAGGAACTACGCACAAACCTAATGCTTACAAAAAATCAGACTGCTCGGAGCGAGAAGGCTGCAGTCTTTAAGAGCAAGATCATCACTTCAGCAGGTAAGTTAAGAGCTGTCATACACTTCACTTGTGACGATTTTGCTTGTTTCTTCCTCCCCCTCGTTCACCCCCTGGGAGATAGTAGTGTCTATGGAGGTAGTAATAAAGACAGCTTCAAGCGACAAAGGTGCTTCCCTGCTATTTTGACTTTTGACGCACATCTGTGCAGACGGCTTGCATGCCCAGAAAGCGTCTTCAACCAATGTGCTCATAGTCGGTGACAGGTCATGAACGAAGTGGAAGCTCCTTCCACCTCTTTTCACTTCAGTAGAGCCAACGCTGGAGAGGAGGCGACCTCCTCTCCACATTCGCTCCACTGAAGTGGAAAGGGATGGGAGGAGCTTCCACTTCGTTCTTGACCTGTCACCTACTATAGAGTCCTATACTACCCGTGGACCGGAAGCAGTTCCGAAGCGGCAACGAACAATGCCACAGGAACCGCCCTGTCATGCTGTCGGACGTCGTGAACTGGGCGACTGATCATAGAAGTCCCGGCGAAAACAATGAGCTAATACCAGTGTCGCCGTCGTCGCGGCATTCCAATTCGTTGCTGCGTAAGCTTCCGAGGACCATCAAGCCAGGGGCGAGCTATGGCAGAACAGGCATCTGCCGATGTCCATCTCTGCAGCTGCGCCACTGCCTGAATCACAGCAGACGACAGCGTGACACTTCCAAGATGTCGCCGGGTGGAAATTCAAGGACCATGTTCGAGGATGCAATAAGCGCGGCAGTCGGAGATGCGCCCAGGGTACCATACCGTCGGCCTCATTTATTGGCGATTGTTAAGGTGTCCATAAGGCATATGCAAATGGATGAAATGTGCATACCTTAGCAGTGGTGTCTTTGGAGGCGGTGATGAAGAAGCTCTGGTCCTTGTTATACTGGAGATCGTTGATGGTCAAGTTGTGTGGCTTAATCGTGTTGAGCTGCTCTCCACTCTGCATCCACAAAGAAATGCAAAATACGTCGCAATACTGTCTCTACCTTTGTATCAAACTCCAAAACAACATAAAACAAAGAAAAAAAAAAGTTATTGGTTGTATTTATTTGAGAAGTGGGTGACCCAGCCGAAAAAAAAAAAAAAAAAAGAAGGAAAATTGACTAATGGTAACAAAAATGTGCACGAAAGCACAAAGACAAACAAAAGAAGTGCACCGTATAGGCACTGCTTTGCTCCTTTCACTGGACTTTGCTTTTTTTTTTCACTGTTCTGCTATCACTACTCATGAACCAACTGTGTTATTTGGTGACCGGATCTTTAGCCATACCAATTATTAAGGTTTAATGCTATAGTCCGTTGCAACTCCACGTCCACTACATCACTAACAATGCAAATCGCACCCTCGGCTACTTGCGTCGTAATTTCGCCCAAGTACCCTCCTCTCTCAGGCCACTTTTATATCGGACACTCATCCGCCCGAAGCTAGAATATACATCAAGTATATGGGACCCGGCTCAACATACTCTCATTGACGCAACTGAATCTGTTCAGAATCGATCAGCGCGCTTCGTTTTTAACTATTTTCGTCTTGCTAGTGTTTCGTTAATGAAATCTAATTTTTGCCTTCCTGATCTATTAATTCGAAGAAAAATTTCATGTCTCTCTTTCTCTCTTTCATAAAATTTTCTTTTATAACCCATCTTTGAAACAGGAATTTATTTCACAGCCTTTATACCTCTCATCCTGCATGGATCACCAGTTCAAAGCTGCCATTCCTTACTGCAGCACAAATATGTTTTATGATTCTTTCAGCACAAATATGTTTTATGATTCTTTCCTCACTAAAACCAGCTCAGAGTGGAACCGGCTTCCCCCTTCCATTGAAGATTCGTCATCATTTATATCAGCCTATAACCAAATATATTTCTAATCCTGCACTTGTTTAATGTTTTTCTTACTACATATTGTACCACTGTGGATGTATTTACTCCATGTACCCACCCCCTCTGTAATGCCCCAGGGGCCCTGAGAGCATTCAAAATAAAAATAAATAATAAAAACAAAACAAAAAAACTCAAGAAGGTAGGCCAAGGGAAAGAAAGGTCGGGGAGGAGGAAGCAGACGAAACGCTGGAGAGGAGAGGGGGAACATCCTCCTTTCTCTAGCATTCTGTCTAATTCCTCCTCCCCAGCCTTCTTTTTTTCTCACCCCCACCTTCTTGAGTTGCAATGGACTTCAGTAATTCAGCGTGTTCGATACTATCCAGCAGCTAAACGAGCAGCCAATCAAAACTTCTCTGACCTTACTTCATGCCCCATGAACAAACAGACCGCAACGCGGGTTGTCCAACAGGGACAAAGTGTTAGCCGCAGAAAAGGAAAGCCTGGTAACGCTATAGACTTCAATCGTTCACTTAGTGCAGTGCATGCCTGCACAAAGCAACAGCCTGTCGCTTGCAAAATCCACTAATAAAACACACACACACAAAAAAGTAAAGTTTTGAGAAAATGTCTGCCCCCGAGAGATTGCCCATCCCGTTTTTAAGGCTAAATATCTGTACCATAAAAATTCCGAAACATTGCCCACCCCCTAATTCCCGTCGGACGTCACGCGATGCCTGACGGGAATTGCATTCGCTGCACCACCTGCTGTATCGGTACATCTGATAAGCAAGTTCATTGCAGGTTCCTGCATTTTTGTCTGCTATCTGCACGTGCGATATTAGCTCCCGCAACACGCGAGTTGTTCCCGCGTGTATATTGCATCGTGAAATGCGAACCTACTGCATCCGAGATCTGTGGCATCCGTTCCTGTGACATAAGAGTCTCTAGCGGATTTCCGGATTTTTGTTGCGACCTGCGCGCACAATATCAATTCCCGTAACACGCAAGTTGGTCCCGCATGTATATTGCATAAAAAAAAGTGATTCTGCTGCGTTCGCGATCTGCGGCATTCCCGTGACATGAGAGTTTCTAACAAATTTTTGCATTTTTGCCTGCGATCTACGCTTGTGATATCGGTTCTTGTGACAGGCAAGTTTGCAGCGAATTCCGGTGTGCTTATTGCATCATAAGACTCAAATCTGCCGCGATTTGCGATATCTGTTCTCCCAAGATAAGAGTTCTCGGCGGGTTTCCGCGGGTATTTCGCATTGCGAAATCTGCTGCGTCTGCAACCTGCGGTATCCTTTCCCATAACACAAGAGTTTGTAGCAAATTCCAGAGCGTTTACCGCATCGTGAAACGCGAACTTGCCGTGTCCCCGATCCGCGGTATCAGTTCTCGTGTCCCGTGATTTGCGGCCAGTGCCAGAGTGTTTATCATTAATTGCTGATAGTTTTGCAGTGGCATCCAAAGATAGCCCTCCCCATGGTTTTCACCAGTTATCTCCTCAATTTGGGTGGGCGTTCTTTCGGAACTTTACGGTACAGTTATTGACAGGACGTGAATTGCAGGGAGACCTTTCAGTTGTGCTGCCTCCAGCGTATGCTTCCCACCTTCAATAACTCTTGGGCATCTCATGAGCCCCGAGTGTACACGTGCAGCCCAAGTATGACAGAAGGCCATGAGCACACACTGGAGGACTGGAATTGTAAAAAGATGCCCGGCCGTCCTCATCCTGTCAATCACAATAACACCTTCACAGCGAACAAATAAACAGGCATTTGGTACCTTGATGTCCCAGATGGAGACGGTACCGTCCTCGTGGGCAGAGAGGATTCCGTCGTCGTAGTGCCACCAGAGGGCGCTGGTCACTTTGCTCCCATTCACGGGGATCACCAGAGCCGAGTCGTGGCCCTCTGCGACAAACAAACATCCATCTTAGCGGCCCGGATTTTTGCACAACACAACCTAGAAAGGTTCGACAATCCGGAAAAAACATCTGCAACAACCCAAATTTATATCTTTTGCCGCACGATGACGGCCACTCGACTCCACTCCTTTCTCCTGAGCCAAGTAAGATTGTGACACCAAACTCGGAATATTCCGCAAGTGGTAGGCCGTCGAGGCACGCCTTCGTTAATAGAACAAACAGAATCCATGAAACGTAACCTTTTGATAGCCTGAATGCCAAGAACACAATGACCCAAAGGGACTAGGAGAAACAAAAAATAAAATATGAGGTAACTCTACAGCTGGGACCCACTGTATGCTTCTATATCTTAGCTAAATTTGTTTTGGGGTGTATCCATGGGACCCTCCGATACACCCCGTTTGGGAAGGCCGCCACGCTTGGCGGGTCAGCGACATACTTTGCACACTGTGCAAAGCGACGGACTTAACTTTTTCGGCGTCTTGCGCTTCAGCTTACTCCTTTAACTTCCGTGTTTCGAGCATGCGGTTTCCAGACAATGACGTCTACAGCATCGCTCGCATCGTCGGAGTCTTCGACTATGATCACAGCAGCGATGAGAGCGATTGTTATCGAGGTGTTGGAAGCAGGTCATTCTGACTTCGACCTGCTGGCGACCAGCTCCAGCGACGAGGAGATCACCACGGACGAACTTGCAATTGTTCGTGCGTTGCCGTGCTAGTTGGAAGGTCAAAGGGCAAGGGGACAAGAGTAAGAATAGTGTTGGGGTAGCCGAGTAGCGCGAGAGGGTGCGACTGTACCGTGGTGAGGCGAGCTTTGGGGTGCCTAGGATGAGAGAACATTCAACTACAGATCATGATCAGGTGGTTTATCGGCACCATATGACTGATTGGTCGCCAGATAAAAATGTTCAACATTCGTTAATTGATTACTGCAATTACTAGAGCTCTAACAGTGGCAAAACTTGGTGTATATACTAAGCAGCCTATGAGCATTGCATTTCAATAATAATCTAATTGTTTGATTCTCGTGTCCTAACCCATCTAAGGAAGCTTTCAGCATATACCGTAGAATACCGCGCATCCGCCCATTCCACATTATGCGCCCACAACCAAATTTCTAAGATAAGAAAAAATGTGCACAGTAAGTTTACATGTAAAACTGATGATCGGACAAGCGCCCATCCCCCAATTTTTCGCGATTATCTCTAAATTTTGAGTGGGCGCTTGCCCAGTATTTTATGGTAGTTGTGTAACGTGAAACTACTCAAGCGACTTTCGGAGTTGCTAAAGTCATTTCTTCGCGCTAGTAATCTGGTTTTCGTTTCACCTAATTTTTTTTTCTTTCGGCAAATGTGAAATTATGCGTTGAAAAAAGAATTGCATGTTCTCTTGACAGCATATTTTATCACTTTGTAAGAAAGAATCAATGACTTCTTATGAGTCCCGAAGACAAATGAAATGCAGAAATACGACTGCGACACATACCCATTTGCCTCTTGTCGGCCGTGTCTACGATGTGGATCTCGCAAAAGCGTCCCATGGACTTGTCCGTGCTGTACATGAGCATCCGTCCGCTGAACGAGAACATGCATGTCCTGACTGCCGTTGCCGTCTCAATCGTGTTGATGTTCACTCCTGCAGAAAATGTCGGCATTAGCATCAGTAACAGGCGACGCTACAGGCACTCCTAACGTCGTCTTAATTAAGAGGGAATAAAAACAACAATAAAGAAAGAAGTCATGGGCCCACCCACCTCTTTCTAGGTCCCACACACGGCAAGTGTTGTCACCGGCGCCCGAGATGACCTTAGTTGAATCCCCTGACCGTCGGTGTCAAGGGAAAGGTGCAGGAAGCGAACCACCCAGGACAAAAAGCCCAGACTTGCCAGGTAAAAGAATCAGCCAAAGAAAAGCCTGCTACATCCTCAAACGTTAGTCGCGACCACAGCTGCAGCTCACAAGCGTATGCTACAGTCGCGCTACCTCGGTGAAGGCCAGAGCGTGACGCGACACGCACGCATCACCACACCAAGGATACAGTTGACGTCGATGCACCAGACGGCACCCGAATGGCCGTGGAAGTTTCCCAGACGCTCCCCGTTGAGGGAGTAGTACACGTTGGGCGTGTGGTCCTTGGCGCATGAGAAGAGCAGATCCCCTTCCCGGTTGTACTTGATCTGAGTGATGGCCCTCTCGTGGCCGTGCAGCATCAGCGGTTTCTGAAACGAGACCGCCGTCACCTCCTTTGCCCTATGCACATCTTTCAGAACCTATATGGACAGCAAGCACACCGAAGAGTGTCTCTTCACACATGAGAGAGGGAGCGATCATGTGTGCGACGAAGATCCGCCCCCACAGCTGTTGTTTGCTCTTCGGCGGTGGGGGCAGTGGGGAATAGACGCCAGCATTTTCTTGTTTGATGGAGCACGTCTAGCATTCATTCGTTGACAAAAAGAGAAAAAAAGGGTACCTTTTTGAGGCATTTTATCTACCCCTTTTCTAGGGTGAAATCCTGATTCGTAAAAAGCCGGTGGATTACCGGAAGACGTAGAAAAGGCAAAGCAGCCATTGTTGGGACAAGCAGACGGCACCGGCGTTGGGGACCTGAATGCCTAAGCTTAATGCCACCGCTCCCTCTTCAGGAAAAGCAGACGATTGCCTTGCTCGCTATGGTTGGAGGAAGACAGCGGACCTTTGTGTCTAACCATTATCCTTCCAATAGGAGCTTGGCACTCTGACATCACCGCACCCTCTGCACAAGAACCAGACTAATCCATAGAGGGCCCACTGGCACCCATCTAAATGGCTGTTATCTGGATAGTCAACTTTGAACAGCAGTACAAGGTTAAACCCGTTCTGTGCAATTCGGGCCACGTTAATACGAGTGATTTAAGAACCCTACACTACCTTTCCGTGTGAAATAGGTGTAAGTGAGCATTTTCACTGCAAAGTTCGTTGTCCACGAACTAGGGAGCGCGACTGTCACGCTGCGGTACCACCATAGCCGAAAGTTAAGAATGCCGAGCTGGCAGTGCTTAACGCCGATTAAAAAATTAAAATATGCTAGAGCACCACCGACTGCTTTGGTGTCGTTTGCTTCAGTTTCTAAATAAATGACACGCTCAACCAATGAACGACGTGCTTCGAGTTTTTGTTCGTCATACAGAAGCCCCCACTGCAGATGAAAGCAAAAGTTTGCACCAGGGGGGCTATGTTTGACAAATGTTTCGTTTCTCCTAAAAAGAAACGGAAGTGATGGAACTGACGATATCGCGTCTGATTGGATAGAGGCTCAAATGACTAAAGTTCCCATTTAAGCCTGTAGCCAATCAGACGCGATATCGTCAGTTCTGTCACTTCTGTTTCTTTTTAGAAGAAACGAAACATTTGTCGAACATAGCCCCCCAGAAGTACTCTGTACAAGCGCTTGAAACAATGCGAATGTTCCCAGTAAAAGCCTTCTCATATATCGTCTGCTAAACTCTGATGACTTAGAGTTCACGAACGACTTTACATTGACTCTTGGCAACCCTTGTCTCATTGAACCGCATCCCAGTTTAAAGGGATACTTCAATGAAATTTGAAATATTCCTGCCGTGTTCAAAAATAGGTTGAATATGACTCACAATATCTGTAAATGATAATCGCACGTTTACATTTTGAGCCTGGTGGCTGTATTTTTCGTTATAAACGGCCCACTCTGGCAAGCGCTCAGAGAAGGCCCAGCGGAGACCACGTGACATGCAACGCAATCGTGACGTAGGTCGCCTCAGGACGAGCAAAGCTACGGCGAGGCTGACGTCGAGAGGATGGCTTAGTCGTTCCAGCCACCGAAGCGGCTGCTTTTGTATGAATTCTGAGTGACCGGTTAATCTTCTATAATCTTGTAGAGGGCCAATAGCGATTTCTGCGACACACAAAAGGAATTCTCGGGAAGAGGGGAGTTCCTCCTTCCCCTCTTTTCTCGTCGTGGCCGGAGGCGAGACAACCTCCGTCACTAGCTGTCAAGGTTCCTAGACGGCCATTACAAGCGAGGCGTTAGCGACATCCATCAGGTGCTCTTTGCTAATCGTTTAATTCATTTTAAAATTAATTTTCGAGACTTTTTTAACAAGATGTTGGTATGTTCGATGTGATACTGCTCCTTTGAACACATATAGACCAAAAAATGAGCGCCGAAATTTCGTTGTAGTATCCCTTTAAGCCCAACAAAGTCGCAACCTTCGACCATCAACCACAAAACATTTATTTAAGGTATTCTAACGCTTTTGATATTTGCAGCCAGTATATCAACTGGTATTCCCAGAAACCGGAAACACGCTAAAAGTTTCACCGTCTAACAACCTACAAAGGTAAAAAATTGCAGTTTTCCCTGTTTCTCCCACAAAGTCCCATGCCTGTGTCAAGCGATGGCAGCCGGTGGTGCCGTTCGACCCGAGCAAGACAAGCCACGATCCGCGAACCAGCCTACTACAACAGAGACCAGTGATCTGCCCGTACCAGCTCTCGTGGAGGTTAGAGAGAACCGTTTTCGAATGCCGCTCTTCCGTGGAGCTCCCGTAGAACGCAGAGTTGGAGGTGTCAGTAACGGATCGACGTGTCCTTCCGCCTGCTACGAAGACTCTATCATGAAATAAATACGTGATATTCTGAGCATTACTGACTCGTTATTATGCCAGCATTTCCAGGAAAGGAATGCTTAACTGCGTCGTTAGGACGTCCAAAATGTCCGAACACGTCAATATGGAGGGGCCGGTTTGTCAAACAACATTCAAAGGGAATCCGCGCACTTCCTATAGGCCCAGATCGCCAGTGAACGATCTCGAGAGAACCCTGGGTATTCTGCGTGACCTCTCGAAGCAGTATGAATCAAAATAACTTACCATTTTGGCGATTTTCTGTCTATTGGACTTCTAACCCACGTTTCCTACGAGAGGTAAAATTCCAGAAGAGGGCTGATGTCTACTTCAATTGAACGGCCAGCGTGAAGGAGCATTTTTTGTGACGTCGTTGGTGACGTCAATGACTGCAGCCGGATCAGGATAGGTCGGATGAATTGGGCAGGTGAATCAGCCGGTGTCTTGCGCCACCTAGAGCACTATATAGCTCCTTCGGAGCAGAGTAGCGCAATCCAGAACGCCGCCTCTCGGCGACTAGCGGCGAACGCCCGGAGGTTCCAACTGCGGTCAGAAATGCATGGAGAACGTGAGAAAATCGTTGTTTCTTCAGCATTGTGGGAATATACGGAATGGCAATCGTTTGTGACATAATAATGGAACATTTTAGAATAATTTGCGCTAAGTTTTGTGACCCGCAAGAACCTGACTTTTTTTTAAAAATTGCTTGAGCGGCACCATGCAGCAGACGACACGGCGACGTCACACCATTGACGTGACCCGCTCCCGCCAACCCGAAAAGCCCATCTCCGCTGCGAGCAAAAATCGTCTGCTTCAAACGCCATTGCCTTGGAAATTGCCTTCTCAAAATTTGCACACGCATCCGATATTATTAAAACTTTGACAAAGTGTTTAGTGCTTTACTAAGTTCACGACAGACTAGTTTTGAAAAGTGTGAACTCGCCGTTCATTTTTTAATCAGCCGTGTTGTACCGATCTCCATGTATTCTCCCATAGGGCGGGCCACTGATCTCTATGACAATTGCTGGATCGCGCTTGCCGCTCCCGCAAGTGAAGCCACCGGGCCTCACTCGCTTGGGATACGATTTGCCGTTTTTGCTAGCCTTTGCTGCGGTTTTCCAGCGTGCTGACGACACGTTTTCTACTCGTTCGTCGTCATTCGCCGAAGAAGTTTTTTGAAGACTCTGTGTATTGTTGAGACTTGCCGTTGTGAACACGTGGAAAAGTTTACGAAAGTGCAGTGTCGCAGGAAAAAGGCACAACGCGTCGAAAGGAAGGGCTGGCGGCGTGTTCAAAGCATCCTTGGCACGCCGAAGTGCCGTGTCTCTGTGCCTTCGCGCGCTTGGATACCGACCAAGAACCGACGCCGTGTGAATGTGTTTAGCGAGTGGAATGTGCGTGAAGCCGTATCAAAAGGTACAACTCGTCGAAAACGTGTCGCCGGTGTCGCGGCGTGATCAAAGCTTCCTTGGCACGCCGAGTGATGCATCTTTGTGCCTTCGCACGCTTGGATACCGGTCAAGAATTGACGCCGCGCCAAAGTTCTGAACGTGTGTCGCGCGTAGATGCCTTTAGATCATTTATATATATCGGCCACGGAGTTCTGGATCGTCCAGCTGTTCCGGTGAGTTGCTATCAATAAAAGGGGGAGATCTGTACGTGTTCTTATGTACTATATTAACCATGGCTATGTCCCAAATCTACTCTAATAGATTCCGCGGGAGCACGAATAGGGCAACGTTGTGGAGCCAGGGGGGTTTTCGAAAGCAAAAGTACAAGACGGCGAGAATGAAAATCTTTGAAGCGCGGCCGATATGGTCGTGTGCAATCTGTTGACCAATTACAATTAGGCGAGCCGCGCTCAAACGTCAAGTGCAATTAAGTAGGTTGATAATAAGCCAGCACTGATCAGTGATGAGGAGCTGTTGTGCACGGTATTGTGTAAATCGTCTAAGGACGAAAAAAAGACGTACCTTCTCCCCATCTTCCGTCGCTAGTGGACGCTGGATTAAGCTCGTTCCTAAACCGCGAGAGGAAAAGACGCTGATCCAGAGGCACGAACAGCTTCACGCACATTGCACTCGCTGAACACATACACACGGCGTCGGTTCTTGGTCGGTATCCAAGCGTGCGAAGGCACAGAGACACGGCACTTCGGCATGACAAGGATCCTTTGAAAACGCCGCCAGCCCTTCCTTTCGACGCGTTGTGCCTTTTTCCTGTGACACTGCACTTTCGTAAACTTTTCCACGTGTTCACAACGGCAAGTCTCAACAATACACAGAGTCTTCAAAAAACTTCTTCGGCGAATGACGACGAACGAGTAGAAAACGTGTCGTCAGCACGCTGGAAAACCGCAGCAAAGGCTAGCAAAAACGGCAAATCGTATCCCAAGCGAGTGAAGCCCGGTGGCTTCACTTGCGCTGCAGCGAACAAGCGGGGAAGCGCGATCCAGCAATTGTCATAGAGATCAGTGGGGCGGGCCGCCTCCTGGAACCCTGAGTACCACGTGACTCGCGCCGAGCCGCTCTGTCGGCCATCTTGTCGGAAAAACACGAGGTTCAAAGGATTGCGCTACTCTGCTCCGTAGGAGCTATATAGTGCTCTAGCGCCACCTAACGTTTTGTGCATCGTCGAGCACAATTTTTTTCTTTAGTTATTTGTTATTTTATCCGATTTCACCGGGGGAAGAAAAAAAGGCGGGGGGGACAGAGATTAAAGGCGTGATGCCTGACTAGGTCTCCGTCCTCTTTACAGTTCTTGAGCAGCATTGTATATCTTTTTGTGCAAAACAACAAGAACAACAAGTTACAACAAAAAGATACACACACTTAAAAAAAAAAATATTATACATAGGCTATGCAATTAAAAAATATACACAACAGTCAAAACTTTTAAACATAAGCCCTAAATACCAACAAAACTCTATCTTAAAAATATAGCAAGCGGAAAGAAAGAAATATAATGGTTAGAACTCATGAAAGGCACATAAATAGTAAATATAAAAAATAAAGCAATGCCACTACCCACCAAAAGTGTCCTTACATCGTTTTTTTTTTAATTGTAGAAAATAAAAGTTAAAGTTAATTTGATGTTATTTGAATGTTCGAGACATGAAATTTTTTTTTTGTCTGTTTCCCGGAGTTTAGTTTGACGTGAGCGCGTTGGTGAAGTTAGATAAAAAAAGAAGAATAAACATAAGACCAGACAGAACAGCACCTCTTTCGAAGTGCTGTTCCGCCCAAGAGATGCTGTTCTGTCTGTGTCTATGTTCATTCTTTCCATTTTATTCCGCAATTTGTGCGGATTTTTGGTTTTCGTCTGGTTGTATGCCTGAAGTTGTAACTTGTTGTTTCTGGCAGAGTTTCGATTAGTTTCTGGCTGTGTATTACTAGTAACAATTCAATATAATACATTTGATTTGCCTTCAGTAGGTAATATTTGTCGAAAAGCGGGTCGGTTGGAAGGTCTATAGGCTTCCCCATGTAATTTTCGAATATTCATAAAATCGTGTTTTTTTGTGTTTTTTTGTAAGACAAGCAACTTCTTATAATTTGTTATCGATGTTGTACCCCATACCAAAATACAATAACAAAGTTTGGAATGAAATATTGAATATTATTTATATATATATTTTTTTAGCCACAAGGGTATCAGGTTTTGTATTTTATATAAACATTCTACTGCTCGGGACAGCTTAGGTTATTGACGTGAGTTTAGTGCTTCATTAAACCATGCCCCAATAAAATTTTGTTCAGTTACTTCTTTTATAACTTAGTTTTTTAAGTATACTACCATATTACAGTTGTCGCATTATCTATTGGAGACAACACTATATGCTTTTTTCAACGTTTAACTGATAGATTGGCAAGATAGCTATTTGCCATGGTTTCTAAAGACGATTTTAAAGTTGAAGAAAAAATGCGTTAGTATTGTCTGCAAACATGACAAGCTCCGGGGATTCCATAATAGTTGTGATATCATTCACATAAATAAGAAATAGAAGGAGGCCCAAGATGGACTTTTGTGGAACACCGTATTTAATTACGAGGTCGAACCCAGAAGCGATTTTGTAAGCGATTTTGGAAGTAGTTTTTTTTAATAAATCAAGAGCCGTAACGTTAAAGTTTATTCATCAGTATGCCATGTTAGATAGTATCAGAAGCTTTTTTGAAATCTAGACACAAGCCTAATGTGTATAACAAATTTTCAATGTTATCTATTGTCTTACCCTTGATCTTCACAAAAGCCTGCTCCAATGATCTCGGTTTTATAAAGTCATACTGATATTTATTTATTACGTCGTGCTTGAAAAAAAAATCTAGTCTAGTATTTATAACTCCCTCAAATATTCTTGAAGAAATAAAAAAAAAGTCAAAACAGAGATTGGTCTATAATTTCGTACAAGGAGTTTTCCTCCTGCCTTGTAAACGGGAGTTACTCTCGTCATTTTTGGTTCACCAGGAAATACCCCAATTTCTAAACTACGATAAATAATATACGACAAAATATAACATATTTGTTGCGAGACATATTTGACAGACAGGGAGGGGTTTCAAATCGTCAACGCCTCCTGCAGCATTATTTTTAACTTTATTTATGAGCCTCTTTACTTCGTATGGTGTTGTTGGTAATAACATAATTGTGTTTGATACGGAAGTCATGGCCTCTCTGACGTAACACTGGAAATTATTTTCGTGTGTTTTAAGGGAGCGAATATCTGCGAAATGCATCTTCATTAAATTTGATAGTTCGTGGCAGCTCACGTTTCTGCCACCAACAGTCACTTTGTGTACTACCTTGAATACGGATTTTTCTATCGGTGATTGTTTACAATTTCCCATATCCTTCGTGGGTCATTGTATATTCTTGAAAATAGGTTCAGATAATACTCAAATTTTGCATTTTTCTCGATCGGAGGTTAATTTATTTCTAAATTTCTTGAATTCGGTGAGTAGGTTTCGGTGTGGACACTTAAGAAAATCGTAGTACTTCTTATCCTTTCTTTTAATTCGTTTGTATAATCGAATTGTGATCAAGGGTTTTCGTACTTTATTTTTACATCTACTTACTTGTATGAGGGGGAAAGCATTGTCATAGCAAAGCTTAAATTTATGCAACAAGCTGCGATACGCGAGGTTGGGCTCACGTTCCAAAACGACGCTTTCCCAGTCAGTTTGGTCAACCATGACACTAAACGTTTCTAGTGATTCGTCATTTATTTTTCAATAAGAGCAGGTATTTCATTCTGCTTTGTGTCTATCTCGCATTAACGATGTTAGACAAAAAGTTGGCACGTGGTCGCTGATATCTACATTAAATACACCAGATGTTACTTCGCTAGCATTAAGATTGGT